TTTTATTTTTTTTTATTTTTTTGTATGGCGTCGAAATTATCAGCGCAGGTTTCAATTCATTCCAACAACCCTAAAATTCGAGTGTAGTTTTGTGTGAATCATTTTTCTGTATGAATTTCTGATTCCCTTTTTCTGTTTTGGCGGTGATAAATTTGATCCAGGGTTTGGGTGGTTTTAGCTGTGCGGCGATTTCTGTTTCAGTTGTCTGTGCTCAAGTTCTTCGATCGCCATGGCTATGAATTCCAGAAGGTTGATTATTAGACTTTGCTAGTTTAATTTTGCCTTTTCTGTTGTTTAACTGGGCGAAAAAAATAAAAATAAAAACTGTAATGAACACTTGAGCTGCCACAATTTGATGTATGTTTGTATCAGATTATCCCGTAGATGTCACCCTACTGCAGTCACCGGGTTTTTGACCGTTGGATCCGTGTGTAGTTTGTTGATCCGAATCTGAAAATCCGGGTGACTTTAGCAGCGTCGAATCTTCTCAAATTATTCTGTGTAATTCTTTAGTTCTGTGTATTATTAGTAATTTTGAACAAGTGACACTAGCTTACAGTGAGTGATGGATTTATGCTGCTCAATTACTGGTTGTAGACGTTATATGACTATAAATTTTTTTTCTTTTTCTTTTTGTGACCTTTCTTCGGATTATGGTGGTTTTCATGTTTCTCCAAATAAATCTAGGGTAATTAAGTTGCTTGAGATGGTCACGAAACATACAAATTTCCATTTGTGGTCATATTTGTTCTGAAATGTTACTAAAATGTTGCCATTGAACTAAGGAGTTCCAAAATATGTACGGATTATTTGAATGCTGAGAATGTAAAATATGATATTTCTTTTAGTTTTGTTCATTTTCTTACTTTAGCCCTGAACTTTAAATTTCATAAACGGTTGCCTTGCTGCTTTGAAATGAAAATGTGCTAATTCGTGATGCTTTTATGAGAGCTATTGATAACAAACTAGTATTTGCGATTGCTACTGATGCTACTTTATGTCTTGAACATTTATACAAATCTTATATATTTAACATCCATGTTCTGAAATTTTAATCATGATATTCGACTTCAGGGATCGTAACTCTAGAAGTGCTCTTTTTGATGGTATTGAGGAGGGAGGTATAAGGGCATCTTCATCTTACTCGTCCCATGAGATTGATGAGCAAGAGAATGATAGAGCAGTTGATGGGCTACAAGATCGAGTCAATTTTCTGAAAAGGGTAAGCTAAATTTTCAGGGAATCACAAGTTGAATTGTTGGTTTAATCGAACTATTTTCTACACTTAGTTGTGAATTAGAAGCTGGAATTACAGTTTTCAGAGTCTGAGTGGTGGTGTATGGATTTTACGGCAAGGTTTGATAAGGTTTTATAAAAAGGGTTTTGCTATATGTTGTTGGGGTTAACATTTATGGATTACTTCTTTCCTTTTCTTATGTGGTATATTTATTCCAGAGAACGGGATAATAATGAGTAATTCCTTATAAAAAATCCCGGGTTTTTTGTCTTATCTTGCTGGCTTCTTTCGTTTACTATTACTATTTATCTCCGATCGGCTATGCTGATCTTGTATTCTTCATTAAACTGGTTCCACAACCAAGAAATAGAGGGTGGATATTTTTGTATAGCATATGGATTTGAAACAAATAACAGGTCCTAAATTGTTGGTAAACATTTTCGTTTGTGGACTACATTCTTGTGTTTCAACTTTTCTTAATCTGTTTTGAAGTGAATTTGAATTATATTCTTAATGCAGTTGCATAATTATATTTTTCCTATCGATATATAAACTCGAGACTTTTTTTTTTCTGTTGTACTAAACTAGAGTTTGCCCTGAACTGAACAGTTGTCAGGTGATATACACGAGGAAGTCGAGTCTCATAACCTCATGCTGGACAGAATGGTTTGTATATTGTAATAAAAAAAAAAAAATATAACCAATCCACCCTTGTATTTGCTAAAGAATTGACCGTGACCATTTTCTCGTTTCATTATTGTCTGAATTTAGGGAAACGACATGGATTCCTCAAGAGGTGTTTTGTCCGGAACCATGGATAAATTTAAGATGGTATATTACTTTTCAAACTCTACTTGACCCATTATTTTCTTCGTGATAACTGATCTTAACTCGTCATCTACATGTTGAAATTACTTGGCTCCTCCAGGTGTTTGAGACCAAATCAAGCCGAAGGATGTTTACTCTTGTGGCATCTTTTGTGGTTGTTTTCCTTGTCGTATACTATCTCACTAGGTAAGTCATTGCTGGTGATGGAAAATGGAGGGTGTGCGAATATGCGGATATGAGAATTTCTATATGGTTTACTTGTTAAATCACCTGATGAGTACCGTAAAATGTCGTGTCCCGATAAGCCTGTGTAAAACCGATATACCTCGAATCACTTGGTGTTCGTTTTGTTTTGTAAATATGTTGACTGTCATTAAGGTATCATGTCTGGTGGCAGGATTATCAACTACAAATATACAAAAATGTCGTGAGCCTTTTTGGTACTTTAATTTTTCTGGTGGGTTGATTTCAAATTTGGAAAGTGGATATGCTTGATTTTTCTAATTCTAAGATCCCCATTTATAGTGGTTGATCAATTTTTTTCGTGTAAGTGAGAGAAAAAAAAATGTATATAAATGGGTTGAACATTGAATAATTATTAAAACTTGAAAAACAAGATTGAGTTGGAAAATATAATTAGTTTTTTTTTTTGTGTTAATTGCATTTAAAATCTTAATCTTTTGTATAATTGCAAATAAAATTTAATTTTTTCAATTTGGCAAAAAAATATCATAACTTTAATAAGTATTGCAAATGTGTCTCAAAATTAGTTTTTGGCCATACCAAATCTTGAATAAGATGACCGGAAAAGTCATTGCCGGAAAAAGTCATCGGTTCCGGCGAAGATGTCAACGGTAGTACCTTTGGATTCACATGGGTCAAAGCGAGTCACCGGAAATTTGCGAAAGAACGCCGGAGAAAATTTGAAGATCTACGTTTTTTACAGGAAAATTGGAAGCCTTATTGTCGGAATTTTTTCATGAAGTTCAGATATGTTGTCGGCACGGAGAAGAGCTACGAGATCATGTAAATATTTTCAACATCCGACGAAATTAGCCGGTGACGAGTGGCGGTTGGCGGCGGTCCGGCAGGTAAGATACAATAGGCCACCGCGAAATACTCCTAGAAATGTTGGTGAGCCCTCTATCCCTCACTCACCTCCCCACCTCGAGGGTAGGCCTCGTCCTCTTGGTTATGGTAAGAAGACGACTACACCAGATCACCTGGTGCTCCCAAAAAGACAGAGAAAAAAAATATCCCCACAAATCCGTCTATAAATGAATACTTGTTAAAAGTTTGGTATTTTTTTGTCAAATTTAAAAAGTTGAGTTTTATTTACAATTACACAAAAGGATAGGATTTTAAATGCAATTGACCCTTTTTTTTTCTTCCTCTAAAGAAAATCTCTCTCAAGAGTTTGGTTCTATATGATAAACACACACACACTAGTAAATGCTATTTTATGTTGGAAAGAAAGTCTGTTTTCAAGAAGCTACTATTTTATGCTGAGCCTTAATTCAACTAAACAAACAGCTGAATACGCGTTCCATTTTGATCAAGTTTGAGTAGAGCTCGAGCATTTTGAATTAGATCTCAATCTCGAACTAGATATTAGAGCTCAAACTCAAACATCTAGTTCGCACACTCAAGTACTCGATGAGTCGTATGAATATATGTAAAATTCTATAAGAGCATCAGCAATGCTCCGTTCATTGTTGAGTGTAAATGCCCCCCAAACATTAAGTTAGCACACTCAAGTACTCGATGAGCCGTATGAATATATGTAAAATTCTATAAGAGCATCAGCAACGTTCCTTTCATTGTTGAGTGGTTAAACGCCCCCCGAGTTCATCCGAAGGCGTCTCATCCGTTAAATGGGGGGACCCACTTATCCGTTCACTACATTGAACGGGGTTTATGCCTTTTTTCTGTTTTTTTTTTTTTTAAATTTTATTTTATTCAATGCATGTTGCAACATGCTTTTTTTTTTGTTTTGAAATAATTATTTATTTATTCTTTTTTATTTTTATTTTTATATTTTATTTATTTTTTTATCTATATCACACTTTTCAATCCAAATAAATTCAAATTTTATCTATATCACACTTCTCAAATTTTATCCAATACGAGATAACGCAATGCATCATCCACTTCGTGCTGATTTAGTTGAGCATATCTGGACTCATTTTGCCAACAACTAAAAAAAATATTTTTTTGTAATTGTACTATTTTTTTCTTGTGTATTCTTAATTTAAGTTATTTTGGTCCTGTAGTGTTTTTTTATTTTCATGCATTTAAAATTTATTATTATAATGTAAAATATTAAAATTTATTTTTATTGAGAATATAATATAAAAAATTGTATTGAATGAGTGAATAATGGATCCCACATATGTATTTAAATGAATGTATAAGAATGTAGGTGTGTGTTTAAATAGAGAGAGATTTAGTAGAAATATGATGTGGAGATGATGTGGATGAGAGATTTAGAAGGCTCATCTTTTTGATATTGTACCAATTTAAGGTTTGAATTTTATTCTTTTTCAATAGAAGACCTATATTTTAGGTTTTTCTAAATTTAAGGCTCACTTTTTAATTAAATTTCCATTGTAAGGCTCAACTAACTTTATATTTGATATAAATATGTGAACTAATTAACTTTATTTCATAATATAGTTATGTGAACAAAATAATTTTTATTTAGTTTATATTTTACATACTTATAATAAATATTTTTAGTAATATTTACTAATAATAAAGCAAAAATATATAAATTATATTTATGCAAAAGTTAAATCATGAATAATTTAAAAAATTGATAAGTGAATTCAATAAATATGTAATGGAAATATTATTTTTATTAATAATATAAATATGTAATAAAACTAAAAAATAATATACAAATGCAATTTACAAAAATATATCATTTTCAACAAGCAATGACATGGTATCAACTTTTGCTTCCAAAAAGAAAAGTTAAAATTATTTTTTATTAATATAAGTTTACTAAAAATAGTTATTATTGTTTATTATTAGTATGCAAAATATATATTACAAAATAATAATAATAATAATAATAATAATAAATATTTTGTTCACATAGTATGTAACGCCCCGACTGACTAATACACCAGAGTACGCGATTTTTCGCAAAATATTCTGAATAAATAAATAAATAAACTGACTTTTTAATTTTGCGAAACTGATTCGGGGGTTACCGTGAAAAACATGACTTCTGAAAACCGTTAGAATTTAAAACTGAAACGTGAAACGGTTATAATTTATTATCCGACTAATGTCGGAACAAAGTCTGAAGGTTTTAGCGGAAGTCTTAGCGTGGCAATAACATGAAAGTCTGATAAAAGCTCTGAAAAGTTTTAACGTTCAACATCAAGTACATCAAAACACAAATATCCTGAACAGCTCGCCCGCTCACTCCTCGTCCCCGACCCTGCGACCTGAAAATCATGAAAATGTGGGGCGTGAGCACTAAGGCACTGTGCTCCGCAGAAACTCATGCTAATGTATTACATCGTAAATAATAACATGATCATGAACTGAGTATATATAACTGAACTGAACTGAAACTGATAACTGATAAACTGATACACCGGTCTGAATCTCGCGACCGAAGTCACGTAACTGATAACTGAATCTCGTGACCGAAGTCACGCATGAACTGAAACTGAACATCTGCCGGCAAAGCCGGACGCCATGTGCACACTCTAGTGGGCAGACTAGGGCCACTAGAACCCAGAATGGACCGGCGACCATTCCGAGCGGACCTGAATATACATACCTCGACCATGGTAACGTGATTATAAACCATGTAAATACTTAGTCTGAGTCCCCACCTGATTTTGCTGAAAACTGAACTGATAGGGAAGTGCTGATGCCTGATCAAACTGAAAATAATATAAACAATTACTATTGGCTATGCTCAGACTGATAAATTTAACTGATTAATTATGTTAAGATGCTTTCTCGAGTCTAACATGATATTCGGACTTAATCGATATAACTGAAATCGGCTAAGTACGGAACTGAACTGATACTAATTAACTGAACTGAGTAAAATACAAATGCAATGTTCAACCATATTCGCAGCAACACGTGCATATATAGTCAAGACTGCCAAGTGCCAAATTACAGTAGAAAAGTTCACGTAGCTCAAATGCCTCAAAATCTCAGAAGTTGACTTTGCAAGTTTATGAATTAAAAGAATGAGGGCAATACCTGGTCTCAACAAGCAAGGCATCTAATCTACACAAGTTCAGTTGAACATGGTACTGTTGGGCAAAACTGACTAAAAGTTCATAGACAATTGAGGTCCTAACAGTATGTTGTAAAGCACATTTAACCGAATGGTATTGACAACTTCTTCAAACAATGATCACTCATGGGAACAAATGAGTTTATTCAATAGAATCAATTTCCAAACATCACAAAATGGATGATGAAAACCTTTCTTTTCCAGACAGCAGCTTTAATAAAAAGGCTCGACATTATCGGTATGGTTACCGTTATTTTAAAAACACGAACGAACTTCTTTTACGACTCAGTCTGCCATTTATTCTAAGCTATAACCACTCCAGTTCAATGCAGATCAAACAATTTGAATTTTTTATCAGATATGCAGTATGAACTTGCTAAATCAATTGTGCCCACTAACAAGAACTGCTTAAAATTACTAGAACCAACTCAATCAAAGCACAAACATAAATCAACCAAACTCATTTTACGGTCTTGGACCCAAAAGCTGCAAGTGGAAGAACTTTACTTCACATCACCTAAAGACTGGCAGTTTGAACTGATGTAGCCACAGCATAATCCACCACCAACACGCCGTCGAGAAGCCCCCTGACCTTATCCTTCTCCTCATTCGCAGCCTCTGCCTCTGAATCCAACTCCTCCAACTCCTTACTCCCCTTGAAAACCGCAATCGAACAAATCGAGAAGCCCTTGGCCCGGCCAGGAGAGAAGTTCTCCCCGGCGGTCAGCTGCTCGATCAAGGGAAACTTCTCCTTAACCTCCCTCACAACCCTCAGAACCTCGCCCTTCCCACTCTCCCCCGCGCTCTCCTGCAGCTTCAGAACCGTCAGCCTGACGGCCGAGCCGGGAGAAACAGCCGCCGGGCCGGAGAATCCGTCGGCGACCCAATCGACGGCCATGACGTCCTCGACGACGGGCCTGACGTAATTAGCCACGACGCTCACGTGCGTGGGGTGATCCGAGTAGGCGGCCAGGTCAGTTTTGGATCTGTACCGAGAGTGGAGCATGTGGGTGAAGGCGAGCGATTTGGACCGGCATCGGGCGACCGGGCCGGCCGAGAGGTGGAGGACCGGTTCCAGGGAGGTGAGACCGTTCAGGTTGGAGATCATGGCGTCGACGGCGGACGGATTGGCGTCGGGCTTCACTTTGAACAGCACGATGTGTTCGATGATGTGATTGCCGGTGGGGTTGGACTGGGAATCGGAGGATGACATTCTTATGGCGGTGGAGGATGGCGATCGGGAAAGGGAAAGATGAGAAGGGGTGGAGCGGATAGAAGCGGCGGCGTGGCGGCGGAGGTACACGGCGGAGGGTAGGTGAGTGCGAGCTACGGACACTGCGGTGTTCAAGCTCAGCAACATTTGCTTATCTCTCCCTTTTGGGTGAAAAAGTGGAAGGGTCATGCTACATGTACAACTATAGTTGACAACATTGGTTGACAACACTAGTTATCAATCATTGAGCTAAATCTTAGCTATACATTTATTTGCATCTCAACTATCTACATCATGACACATCATGTTGTCATAAAATGTTGTACAAAATAATTGTACAAGTAGCTTTTTCCAAAGTGGAATCCGTTAAATCACGAAAGTGACGTGTGAATTTAATTGGTTACAAGGGGGTGTTGGTATAGGGTTTATTGCACCAAACCCCTGTATTATACTAAATCTGCGCGTTTTCTCCCTATATTTTAAAAATTGCGTCATACTCATACTCCCTTGTATTTAAGGTTTGCATGCACACGTTTTCCTTTTATACTCATACTCCCTTGTATTTAAGGTTTGCATGCACAAGGTTTGCATGCACACGCTCTCCTTTTATACTCATACTCCCTTGTATTTAAGGTTTGCATGCACACGCTCTCCTTTTATACTCATACTCCCTTGTATTTAAGGTTTGCATGCACACGTTCTCCTTTTAGTGTTTTCCTGTTAAAAACGTTAATATTTTTGTAAAATTCCCGTTATGCCCTCCGAATATTATATATATATATATATAT